CATGACAGTGTGGGCGCGTGACAGTGTGAGGACGTGACAGTGTAAGGTCGTGACAGTGTGAGGGCATGGCAGTGTGGGTGCGTGACAGTATGCGGGCGTGACAGTGTAAGGTCGTGACAGTGTGAGGGTATGACAGTGTGGGCGCGCGACAGTGTGAGGGCGTGACAGTGTGGGGGCGTGACAACTTAGGGATGTGACAATGTGGGGCATGACAATGTGAGGGCGTGACAATGTGCGGGCGTGACAGTATAGGGGCGTGGCAATGTCAGGGCATAACAATATGAGGGCGTGACAGCGCAGAGGCGTGACACGTGCATATTGTGACAGAATGACTGCCAGCCAGTGTCAACACTATGCAGGTTTTATCACGTTACAAGTGAGAAGGCGTGACAACGTGAGGGCGTGAATATAAAGCGGCATGTCACTGTGGGCGCGCAAACACATAAGGATATAAACAAGTGATAACGTGGACGCATGAGGACATGGCGGAGTGAGAGTGTGAGCGTTTGCCGCATGCCGGACAGAGGACGTAGACGTATGAAGACATGACATATTACGAGCGTAAGCGTGTGACGGCATGTCATCGAAGTGGAGTGGGTGCATCCGGACATGACAGAGCGAGGGCGTGACAGCGTGCGTGGAGACCGACCTCCGGAGGAGCTGCAGGTCAGCTGGACCATCTCGCCCTCCCGGTACCGCCTCCGGGTGAGACGCTCGATCGCGTGCCCGCCGGCGTTCAGGATGGTCGGACGACCCGGCGGCGCTGCGGGCGACAGAGGCAAAACAGCTGAAAATCACAGACGGCGGCGGCGTGGCCGCGATGCCGTGAAATCTGGCACCTGGTGGCTGTGTTTCGTTGAATCTAGACGAGGCATGTGACAATCGCGGGGACCACGAGCGGACTTGCTTGAACGAAACGAGACAACTTGAACTTAACGTGGCAAGTTGGACAGATTGTGAACAAAGCGGTGATAGCCGCATTCTGTTTACGAGAGGAAAACTTTGCTGCGCATCGCGCGCCACCATAATGCGCAGTGGCAGATCTGGACAAATCATCCGCGCGGTTGTTCTGTTTTTGAAGTCGCCATCACGAGCGATGAATCGAGCGCGTCGGACCGGGGCCGCCGGCGTCGCTGGTTTGGAGGCCTGCGGGCGGCAGACGGCTGCAGCTGCCGTTGTGCCGGCGGCGGCTGCACTTAGGTCCGTCTGTCCTCGTAAATCTCACCCGCAGAAAAGTGCTGGAAACAACACAGTCCGAATGTGGGCTGGCACTACTGATATATCGGCGTGCAGCCTGTGGGCTGTGGGCGGGGAGAGGAGGGGCGGGGGAGGAGCTCCCTTCCCCGCTCCGGAGCGGGGAGGAGCTCCCCTCCCCTCCCCGCTCCGGGGCGGGTGGGAGAACCCAGCGCAGGATCCGGGCCGGCGGCGGCAGCGGTGCGGCAAGACGCCGCCTGAAAGCCGCCGCATGCAGCGCCATAAACGCCGCCGGTAAAATCGGCCGCTCTCGTCGTGCCGAATGGGCGGCTCGTCGCTCCATGACGACCGAGGGCGGAAGCCGCTGTCGGTGTCATGCCATACACCGGGGCCGGGGCCGCGCAGTCACGCGGGCGCCAGCGTGCCGCGACAGAGCCGGCCGCGCCAGAGCCCGGGTTCGGGCGTCGTCCTGGGACTACGGCGGGCGGAAGTGAGCTTCGGTTCCGAGCTCGTGAGACACGGCCGCCGCCGCGATGGGACGCGTCGAGGCGACCGGTGCGCAGTGCCTGACGGATGACGGGCGAGGACCCCGGTGTGAGAGGACGGAATCCGGATGAAGGAGGATAAGGCCCGTTGCGAGGGGAATATGGCCCGGGTGTGAGAGGGACAGGACCTAGGGTGAGAGAGTGTGTGCGTTTGTGTGTGTGTGTGTGTAGATCTGGGACGCGCAAGTCTGGTTTGGGTGTGAAAAGCTTGGGTACCTGGTGGGAGGGGCATGAAAAGCTGGACGTGAGAAGGAGTGGAATCTGGTCGTGAAAAGGGAGAAACTCTGGATTGAAAAGGTGGAATCGGGCACAAGGGGAAGACCTAAGAGGCGAGACCTGGGTGAGAAGATAGCCGAGCGCGTGAGAAGACGGTACCCAGGTGTGCGGGAGTGGGGCTCTATTGAGTTAGAAACATGCGTGCGAACGTGAAATTGAAAGGCGCGAACATCCTTCAGCCTCTATTTTTGGGCAATCGACGCCTGCATTATGCAAATGCGATTCGTCTCCACTGCTATTGATAGCCACAAAGGCCCTAATAGGTCATTGGAACTACTGCGTTGTTCAAGTTCCCGCTTCAACAAAATAACGCCTTAATTGGAATATTTTTATATCAAGGAATTCAAAGTCCATGTCAACAGCCTTCAAAGGATTTTTAAACTACGCATCGGCGACCAACGGTTATATAAGACCCTGGCGGGCAGCCCGGATGGTGGGGCCGTCTGATCCTATATGCAGAGCACAAACAGCCAGCGAGCGCTCAAGCCGGCCGAACCGGCGGCAATCCTGCGGCATCGTCTCGGGTCAAGTTTACCACCGTATCGAACCGCCCGAACGGGCCGGCTGTGTCAACGTGAGGAGCCAGAAGCGGGTCGGGGCTTCGCGTGGAGAGCAGTCGTCCATGACGAGTGGCATCTGAGGGGGCTGGCCGCCGGGAGTGGCGGCAGGAGTGGACCGGACCGCCGAGAGTGGCGCCAGGATGGCACTCAGCGCGTAAGGGGAGTGGGGAGCGCGCCCACTCGATCAGACGTGTCTGGCCCGCCACCCCACCGCACGCCCAGATGCGCCGCGCAAACAGAAGCCGTGCCAAGCGCCGCCGCCGATACATATAGGGGGAAGTCGGACGCGACGGGCTCGAGAATACGTGTGGGAATGGGAAGCAGATAGGGGAAAAAGATGAAGATATGAAGAGTGAGAGGAATAGAGAGCGCGAGAGTGAGACAGCACGAGGTAAAGGAGCAAGGGAGGTAGTAAAAGTGGGCAGAAGCTTGTTAACAGCGCGGCAAAGAAAGACGACAATACACAAGATACAATCATAACACTTCCAGCAGAGGACGAGAGACAGAGAGAGGGGGGAAAGAGAGAGGGGGAGAGAGACAGCGGGGAGCAGCGACAGCGTCACCAACTTAGCAAAAGGTGTTCACGCGCCATGGACAGGGCCGACATTTATGAGTTTTGAGCGCGATTCAGAACACCCGAGATTAATCACGGCGCCGAGTTATGCCTCAGATTCGGGCCGTTTTCGCCTGGCTGGCGCAGGGCGGCTGCCAAAGTCCGTCCAAAGATAAAACCCGGCGCCGTGGAATGGAAGCGCTTTGAAGTGCCGCGCCGGGGGCTTCCTGCGTCGGTTCGTCGACAAATCGACGGCGTTGGCGTCGGACGCGGGGCGCGGGGACTGCCGGCGGCTCGCAGCGCCCGGCCGCACTGTGTCAGTCAGAGCAATGCTGACCCGCACTGGGTCACATTCGCTGATGCGCTGCCGTGCGCTGGTGCAGTTCTGGCTGACGGTGGCGTGGTGTCCCAGGTGCAGTGTGTGTGGATCAAGACCCAGCGGTATCTTGAGATGGCTCTGGGAAGACTGCCGCGCCAAATTGCTCTATGTGGGATGCTGCGTTACGGGTGCAGTGTTGGCTGTCGCGACATCGTGGTGTGTGGGCTGTCGTAAGCATGGCCCGCTAGGGCTGCAGCTCTGTGTCGCTAAGCGAGTTCCCGTCCCATATGGTCTCTGTGCGGGCTGTTGTGCTGTGGTGCTGAGTGGGCTGTCATGGTTCGGGAGCTGTCGTGCCGTGGTGCTGTGTGGGCTGCAGTGGTCCGTGAGCTGTTGTGCAGTAGCGCTATGTGAGCTGCCGTGCCGAGTGAGCTGTTGTGCTGTGGCGCTATGTGAGCTGCCGTGCCGAGTGAGTTGTCATGCTGTGGCGCTATGTGAGCTGCCGTGCTGCGTGAGCCGTCACGCTGGGGTGCTGTGGGAGCTGTCGTGCTGCATGAGCCGTCGTACCGTGTGAGCTGTCGTGCTGCGTGAGCTGTGGTGTTGTGGCGCTCCGTGAGTTGTCGTGCTGCGTGAGCTGTGGTGCTGTGGCGCTCTGTGAGCTGTCGTACCGTGTGAGCTGTCGTGCTGCGTGAGCTGTGGTGTTGTGGCGCTCTGTGAGCTGTCGTGCTGCGTGAGCTGTGGTGCTGTGGCGCTCTGTGAGCTGTCATGATGTGGGATTCGTCGCATCGCGGCGCTGTTTAATGTGCATGCCGATGCTCCGCAGCACCACACCGGCTATGGGGCGACAATTGTTCAGTGAAACATAATCTCAGACGCGTCCATTCGGTTTCCCGTCCCAGTGAACCGTCAACAACGGTCGATCACCCGCCAACACCAAAGCCGGGGTCAGCTGACACGGAATATAAACATCCGACGGAATATCGACCATTAGAAAGGGTCTGCAGGTCCACTGGCGCGGGTTTCTCGTACTGGCCACGTTAAAATTGACTCTGAGGGCTACCCGGCCAGCGGCATACGACCCGCGCAGGGTCTATCGCATAATCAATCGGGAATGTCCAGATTTTGTGAGCACTGGACATGTGCCCAGCGAGAGCAGTGAAAATCTGGCCCCGGTCCCAAATCTAGGAAGCGCTAGGCTTTTATTGCGCGGCTGAACAAACTAAGCGCCTTGGCTGGTCAGCGTGAATAATGCATCTTAAAGCGAGGCCAGCTTTCGCGATGCAATTGATTCTTGCCCGGCAGCTGGCGGCCGTCGTGGGCGCCGAACTAATATTAATGGAGTCCGTGGGAGCAAACACGTCCACTGCGATCATTTACGTGGGGAAGGATGGCCTTTGAAGGCAACAGCGATGCATGGGGTCACGACCGAGTTTGACCAGCATTGCAGCTCGACCGGCCAAAATGGGCCCGTGGCAGAAACGCGGGTGGCCATTCTGACCTGTCGGAGGTGTAAGACTGGTAGAGGGGTCAGGCACGTGAGATGGCAGCTGTGACTTGTGGACACCTGAAGTGACCCGTTGGTGCCTACGAGAGACCCACGGTAGCCAACTGTGGATGTCCGTCGTGAGGCGGTCGGATGGGGACAATGAGAAGCGTGGTCAGCCGCGGTCACCAGGCACGTGAGGTGGTCACCTGTGATCTACCGATACCTGGGATGGCCAATCAGTGGCAATGTTCAGGTCTCCGTGGCCTATCAGAGACGTGAAGCGGTTAACTTTAGACTTATCGGCGACGCGAGGAGGTCACGTGTCAACGACGGACGTATCGCGCCGACCGCCGTTCTCGGGAGCGCTGGGGCCTGCCGTCGATGATCGGCCGGTCAGGACCGACGCGTCAGCGTGCATCCGATCGCCCCGTCGATACCGACGAACAGAACGGAGCGGCCGACGATCCAATCATCGACTTCGGACGGCCCCCCCCCCCCCCCCCCCAGACTGGCTGGCCCCCGGTCGCGGCTGATGGAACGCCCGGTCGCCGTCAGCCGGTGGGTGTCCTGGTCCGGGGGTCGGGAGGTGACGAGCTGACAACGTAGGGTCAGCCGGGTCAGGGGCGGAGAGGCCGGTGGTTCGGCGGTTCAGCGGGATCGACGCTCGGTCAGTCCGTCAGTGTAGGCGGTAAAAGGATGGCGCATGGACTGGCAACTACCGGTACACGGCCGGTGCCGGGCTACGTTGGCCCGCATTCAGTACATTGAGAGGTGGAGCCATTGCCGGTACAAGTGAGCTCTTTCAGGCTCTGGAATGGTAACGATGTACATCTCGCCTAAACTCGGTGCCAGCTGTTTAAAAGGAAATTTTCTCAAATCCGCACCAAGAGCTGGAACAGGCTGGATATTATGAACGGAATTCGAGGTCATGCAGATGAGGGGATGAGCAAAATGGTGTGATCCGAGGCCAGGGAGGACAGAGACTGAGATGATACCAGTCTTCACAATCAATAGCCTTGCCAATGGAAAGTTGATTACTAACCAAAAATGGGGTAACATGCAGGCAAGACAAAGACCAACTGAAGGCATATCACATTTCAGATCCGCAAGGACACACGACTTTTGCGACTAGCGTGCATGTCGACAACCATTCACTTGGCAAGCATTATTTTTCCGTCATAGTCATAAGATTTCGTTCATAGTTGGTGAACTCCAATTTCTCGGACAGCCACATTGCATTGCGCTGATGTGTTTCTGGTGAGATGGAAATAGCCAGCTGAGAGATAAATGGGGGCATTTCAAGAAGTCGAGGGAGCATCTCTAGACTGCTCCCGACAACTCCCAGATTCTGGGAACAGAGTTATGAGGAGGAACGTCAATAGCCTGTATTGATATACGAAAGCCGCCACCATCACTGTCTTACTAGCGATGTACGGATGCAATTACAGATAGCTGATGTATCCGAAAGCGCGATGCTCATTCAAACCCTGATTTGCGAAGATATGTGAACGTTCACCCCGTATCACCAAAACCTGTGAAGTTTTCGGTCAGATGACATTATCTTGATGTGAGACTGTTGAGAGACGCGGAGAAACAGCTGAGATGTTTTTTTTATAATTTTTTCCTTTCAGTTGTTTAACAAACGATGGGGACCATGATGTATGTCGTGTTTTGGCGGGGCAGGTGGTCACATTGCCAGCCTCCCATGGCCATTTGGCCGGCAGGTCCCGGGATCATAAACGCTGAAGAAAAAGGTAGCCAGAAAAAGTTGAAAAAATCGCTACCAAGATCCGACTGCGGCATGAAAGTATTTCCAATATATAACGCGAAGAAGCTCGCTGACAGCGGTCAACGCCGCCAGAGCCCTGGATGGTCACCCACTGCTCCCGAAACGCTCTCGGCAAGAATGGAAACTCACTGTCAGAAAGTGGCACTCGCTTCCGGCACTTACACATCCTGGTTGGCACCCACTGATGGAGGTCAGACACTCGCAGACCATGGCAAGACAGTTACGGACGACGGATCACCAAAAACGGACGATGGATACTCACTGATGATTTTACGCCAGTTACTGATGGCGATCCGACACTCGCCGATGGCCATCTGACACTCACTGATGACAGCACTGTATTCACTGGTGACAATATGGCACTCACTGACGACAGCCTTGGACTTGCGATCATAACTCATATGACGGTCAGACATTCACTGATGACAGTGTGGGACAGTATGGCACTTAATGACGACAATCAAACACTTGTGATCGTGACCAGACATTCACTATGATCGTTGGACATTCCCTGATAACGGCCAGACACTGCCTGATGACGGTCAGACACTCCCTAATGACGGCCAGACATTCCCTGATGACGGACACTCACTGCTGACAACATGGAACAGCATGGCACTTACTGCCGACAGCCAAACACTTGCGATCATGACCAGACATCCTCTGATGACGGCCAGACACTCACTGATGACGGCCAGACACTCCCTGATGACGGCCAGACACTCACTGATGACGGTCAGGTTGACACGTGAGTTGCGCGTGGGCGAGTGCAGGAAGTCGACGCGGCAGCGGTAGAGCCGCTGGTCGGAGCGGCGCACGGCCCCGATCCGCAGGTGGGCCGGCCGCGTGTTCGGCTGGAACTGCACCCGGCTGCTGTCCACGCTGGCGTCCGTCCAGTGGGCGCCGCGCGACCTGCCCCGGTCCCGCGCGTCGTACCTGGCGCAGAGGCGACGGCGTGTCGGCGCGGTCGGCGCCGTGTGCTGGAGGATCACGGCAGGACGGACAGCGTGGCGGCGGCCAAGTGGGGAACGCCGCGGGTGTTATGATGCGTTGCGGACGTATGCTACGTTGCTTAGCCAGAAGGTTGCGTTGTCGATTCGACTGAACTGCTACCGCCTTCGATAGCCTTTCAGCGTCTGATGCGGTACACAGTATCCGTAACTTCATAGCACTCACAGTCGCGACAGTCCCTTTCATAATATTTTCACACTATTTCAGGAGGTGGCCCATGAATAATTCAGCGGAGGCACGTCTTGCAATCACCGCCACGTGGCACCAAGACGTGCGCAAATGAACCCGATTTGGCACTTCAGGGAGTAGGCGGCAACAGCTCACCGGGATGCGAGCTTGCTTTCCCGGCGGGTCGCAATCAAACCCCTTTCAGCCTTCTGATGCACTCGTCTGCCACCGGCGGCTGGACGAGACACCGAATGCGAATCTGTCCCCAATTTGCTTTTCGACTGATGCCGGATTGGGTCGGGCCGCTTGACGTGCAATCAGCATCCGCTGCGGCCGTTTGTACGGGCGGGCGCCGGTCGATATCGGGACCGAGCAGCCCGTGAGCGTCCTCGCCAGCTATTGACGGAGCGTCAACGGCACTCAGCAGCGGGACACAAATACAAACCCAGAGCGGCAAATGGGCGACGGTGGTAGCAGCCGCCAATCTATCACCAGCGATGCCGAGTGAATCTTTCGTATTTGACCTGCGGGAAGTTTTCAGTTTGAGCCACTCGGCCAGGCCCGAACGTCGCGCCCCGCAACAGATAGGCGATGCAAGGAATGGTGTGCGCGACATGACGAAATGCGCCAGTCTGCCCTTACGTGTACACCGGTGTGCCTCCAGTGCCGTAGTACCAGAGCACCAATCGCAGCTCGTCGTCGGGTGACGGTGGCGTGACGTCACAGGGGAGCTCAGCCGTCTGCCGCTGCACTGCCGACACGTTGATCAGCGGGCCTGTAATGGACGACAGGTCGGTTGAACACCCACTTGTGGCCGACAGCCTGTTCGGAGAACGCTACCGGCTGCTGACATTGCGTGATATCAGCGGATGCGAGCAGTCCGCCTCGAATCACCCACAGAGAAGAACGCTACATGAGGATATCAGATATATCATCAGATAACAGAGACCACCAACCCCAACCATTCCATGTTTACTGTTTTCATGCACAATTCACCGCGGTCAATTTTCGTACTATGCACATTGGTATCATACACAAAAAAACGCCACAAAATGCGCAAGTGAAGAAAGCTGAGCGTAATAATGACATCAGCATTCAACACTTTCTAGATTAGCTAGTGGCACACTGAAATCTAAAATAACCTAGACACACTAACTGATCGACGCAACTCACACTTCAGTGAGCAGCGGCACGCGATAACTGCCGTCATGCGGCGAATTTTACTCAACGGCTGCTTACAGAGCGCCCAAGCCGGACCATTCCAGGTGTAATGATTCGCAACCGACGCTCAGCTGGCCAATGAGGCCCCACTCCCAGTTTTACAGCCCATCCGGCCGGAGCTGGCGCGAGCCGCCTCCGGAAGCCGTCCACTTCCGGCGGCGGTGGGCGCCGTGTCCGCTGGGAGACGGCGAGCCTCCTACCAAGACGGACCATGTTCCCCCGACAATCGATCGGCGTTTGTCTCCCGAGAGACAACTTCGACGCGGACTCTCTGCATCATGTCTAGCGGTTGTGACCCTTTGACGCGGACTGTCTGCGTCATGTCTAGCGGTCGTGACCCTTCGACGCGGACTGTCTGCGTCATGTCTAGCGGTCGTGACCCTTCGAGGCGGACTGTCTGCATCATGTCTAGCGGTCGTGACCCTTCGACGCGGACTGTCTGCATCATGTCTAGCGGTCGTGACCCTTCGACGCGGACTGCCAGTATCATGTCTAGCGGTCGTGACCCTTCGACGCGGACTGCCTGCACCATGTCTAGCGGTCGTAACTCTTCGACGACGGACTGTCTGCATCATGTCTAGCGATCGTGACCCTTCGACGCGGACTGCCCGCATCATGTCTAGCGGTCGTGACCCTTCGACGCGGACTGCCTGCACCATGTCTAGCGGTCGGGACTCTTCGACGCGGACTGTCTGCATCATGTCTAGCGGTCGTGACCCTTCGACGTGGACTGCCTGCACCATGTCTAACGGTCGTGACCCTTCGGCGCGGACTGCCTACATCATGTCTAGCGGTCGTGACCCTCGGCCCAGTGCGGCACTCCCAAAGGCGCTCCTGCTCCTCGGTCCCTGCTCCTCTTGCTCCTCTTTGTCCCTGCTTCTCTCTGTCCCTGCTACTCTCCGTCCCTGCTCCTCTCTGCCCCTGTCCCTTTTGCCCCTCGTCCTCACTGTCCCACTCCTCTCTGTCCCTGCTCCTCTCTGTCCCTGCTCCTCTCTGTCCCTGCTGCTCTCTGTCCCCTCCACATACTCTTTTTCTTCCGCCTCCGGCTTTTTTTGCGTCCGCAATATCACGTCTCGCTGGAAAGTATGCTATGACTGTCAGCCATGGGCCAACCTCACGGCTGCCCGAGCTGGGTGCTCCGCCCGAGGGTCTGGGCGACTTACGGTTGATTACACACAATGGGAGCAGCATAACCGCACCTCTGCCTCCCTCCGCAATCCCAAAACTCTGAGATGGTCGTGGTTAGATGCAATGGTTCTCACCGAACTCAACCTAACTGAACCAGATCTCCCCGTCTACAACATGTCTGGGTGTCAACTCGCTGTCCTTAGCGGCCCTTATATAAAGATACATATCCAGTGCACGTCTCCCAGCTGCGTTGGTGGCTGTATCTTTTACTCCCCAGGAGTGGAGAGGTGCTGAGGAAAGTTGGCAAGGCAATGCTTGCTGTTCACCCGCTGATAAGTAATCAAATTATGACTACTTTAGGAAAACAACTTAATTTTCTGCTACTATGACCCCCCCCCCCCTCCTGCCATGACCTGCATTGACGCATCGTTTTCAACACGTGTGCCCAGTGGTATCGGTATGGATGCCTGATGGTGTTTTAGAGTCATGAACCGTTCTGAGATATAGCCTGTGTATTCGATCTGCCAATGTGTCATGCACTGATAAAACCTCAGGGTTCGTGGGCTTGGCGATGAGATGCAATGCAGCAGTTTTGCTTCTGTCGCATTCCACTCGTTATCTACCATGCCAGCCAAAAATACCACACCATGTTGAGGTAGAGCCCCGCCCCCTTTCTCTCCTCTTTTCTCCTCTCCTCTCCTCTCCTCTCCTCTCCTCTCCTCTCCTCTCCTCTCCTCTCCTCTCCTCTCCTCTCCTCTCCTCTCATCTCCTCTCCCTTCCTCCTCCTCTCCTCCCTTTCCTCCTCTCCTCTCCTCTCCTCTCCTCTCCTCTCCTCTCCTCTCCTCTCCTCTCCTCTCCTCTCCTCTCCTCTCCTCTCCTCTCCTCTCCTCTCCTCTCCTCTCCGCTCCGCTCCTCTCCTCTCCTCTCCTCTCCCTTCCTCCCTCTCTCCCCCCCCCCTTCTATTTTTCTCACTCTCGTCCCTTCAATGGTAAGCAATGAGTGTCACATCCTCTCCTCGTCTCTCCAATGCTCCTCTCCAAATGATACTCGCTGCTCGGCAGGAAACAGCCTTCCTTCCTTACCAACATTCCCTGCCGAGTACTGCGAGCGGGCAACGGTGTTTTGATTCAATGCTACACTTCTCTACAAGTTTGCTCTGAAGGGTTTGCTGAGTGTGGACAGGTTTTCAGCAGGCAGCTTGGCCTGATTGAAACAATATTGTTTATTCAGGAAACCACTTCAAAGTTGGCCCAGTAAGTTGTTCGGTGTTTTCAAGCAGAATTCGAGGAGAGCAAAAGGGAAGACGGCAAAAAGCAAACGTGAAAATTTAAAGGTAACCCGAGTAGAGGCACTATCCCCACTTTAAATACTGCTGACGTACTATTTTGTAAAGCATGGAATACAAAACGATGCGTCGCTGGTTTATAACACATTATCTAGCGTTAACCAGGAATGTAGTTTCGCAAAATGAGTTGAAGGAGGTGGCTGTGAAGTGCAAAATGGCGCACCTTACTCCTAGAAACGCCAACAAACAGGTTCCACCTAGACTTGGTCCACTTTCTTCCACTGAATAGGTAACTACGCTCCTGGTTTTTAACGCTGAAGTGAAATAAAAAACCTGGGCTCAAAGGCATGCCATAGCACAACGATGGTTATAAGTCAGCACGGTAGGCCCATTATCAGGTCAGTCCGGGTTGTAAGCGCTATATGTACCGTAGAGCAGTCGCGTAAGTCACACGTTTCATAGCCTTTGTTTCGTCGGAGCAGAAACGAAGTATGGCAGTTCCATCTGGTAGTATTCCATAATTGATTAGCCCGGCTAAAAGTACCTTATGTAGACTGTTATGAGATGCCAGCAATGCCGTTCGCTACATAGGTGCCGAAGTAAAATACAGGAGATGTCGTTTGTGTTCTTGAAACTGATCGCATAAACACTGGTCGCTACAAAATCGAGCTGACATGAATTTAGTGTATCTAAAAAACTGGAGCTCAAACAGAAAATAAGAAGGCAAACATAGCGCTTAATAACTTGGTTCAATTTCTCAGCACAAATCAACGTGATTCGTACTCATCATTCGTCTTTATTTTGGGCTTATGTCAAGGGCCTTCCTCCATCCTTGGCACTTTTGCTTGTTACTTGTCAAGTTTATAAGTTTTTTTTCTGTGTTGTCGACCTACAAGACATCAAAACGTACTAGTTAAATGACAATATGGAGTAAACATTGGTTAATACGGGAGGGTCACATCGACCGCAACCCTATCCCTTCTAAGGAAAAGGGTTAAAGGGAGCGTTCCACATCTTCATGGTGTTTTGAACTGAAACAGCCACCTTGAAGACTTTTCGGTGCTGTTCACAGCTTTGTCATTCTTAAGACTTATGCCTCTCTGGTTTCTGAGCCAAACGCTCGCGAAAATGGGGATTGTTTCGTGGAGAATATTTCAAGGTCACCTTGTCATGACGTCATAATAACGTCATTCAAATGATATAACTCCATAAGCCACGCGGCAGTCAAAACCTAGAAGAATAGAATTGTCGAGATGTTCATACCTGGCGTTGGTGGGCACAGTTTCCAGACATAACGGCCATCAATTAGCTTTCAATCAATATTGTGCAAGGTACAATGGCGTTATCAAGCCATAACGCATTGAGAAGCATACTTAGTAAACAGAAAATTATGCTGTCTAGAGCAGTCTTTTCCACTTAAAAAAGATACCAATAGTTACAAGTGAGCTTGTTGTATCATATCTGATGCCTTCTTCAATGGCCTCAAATGTAAAACATTCCCTTAAAGATGATTGGGCCCATGACAAGATCGTTTGGCGCGAAGTGTGTGAAAAATTGCGACATACATTCCTTTTTCACATGGCGTCATGCTATTGACTAGCAATGCTTTGTCTTACGCTGCAGCAAATCTGCGCACTTTTGAACTCAACACGACCACAGTGGGAGGCGGGAAGGTGAACTGAACACCAAGTGGAACGGCGCTTACGTTCGTAGCGTTTCGGCCGAACACAATGCACACAAATGACAAAAACGCCCGCGTGAGCAGTGCTCGATTAGGGCTGGGTTAATTGGGCTTCTGGTGACGAGATTCTACTTCAAAGCATCGCTTAAGCAGTGTGCGCCACACAAAGCTGTTGGTGTTTCCCGTAGCATGCCAACTGTTTGTGGCACATCTGTATCGGCACCTCTGCGAACACCAGGAAGCGCCTTTGAATTTCCAGTAATATTGTGCCGTGGTGGCAGATTTTTCCGGTGGGTGTTCGTGAAAATAGCTGTGACATTTAACTAGCTGGCAAGCGGCATGTTGTGTGCAACTGGTTTCGAGGTGGGCCTTCGTTGGCTTTGAGGGATCTATTATTCGGTAAGGGTATCAATATAACAGCGCAACATTCGTTACTATTAGTCCTTGCTTACAGGCTACAAATAAACCCCAGAAGGGAGACTGTCGTTTCAGCATGCAGTAAGGGTCCTATTGTTTCCACATGGCCACTGTAACTATTGCTATTAAACCCATAGTGAGCTGTCAAATTGCGTAAGTTGCTCAGCACATTAGCGAGGAACATTATTCACATAGATAAGACAGTAGTATTAGTCTTATTCCTCGGAGAAAGACCAGGAGAATGGAGATAAAGTTGAGCTACCCGACAACCCAACTATATCTCCACTCTCCTAGTTTTTTACCGAGGGATAAGGCTAATGCTTCTCTCTTATCTAGCTGTCAAATTGATTAAACTATGGATCTGCATATCTCGCAAGAGTTGAAGAGCACCTTGAGTGGAGCTTTTGGTGAACACGACTCACGCCTGAACACGTGGATATGACACGCCGTGCCTTTTATTATCAGTACGGCATGACCC